CTCCATTCACAGGCAGGGAGGCTCCAGGAAGGTGGGCAGCCTCAAGGCCGCTGCTCCCGCTGCCTGGGGCCGGGACCCCCCAACACCACTCCCTAGCCTCTGCCTTGCCTTCCCATCTTCAGAACCTGCCTTGCTGTGTTTTTGAGTCTGTGACTCTGTCTCAGTTTCTCATCCGTGACCTGGGGTGAGAGCGGTGTCTTTCTCCGCGAACATGGTGAGGACCACCATGGGCTAATGTGTGTGCTGGGCACACAGTAGTCACATTCCTGCCCGCCGTACAGGACCCGCTCCTGGAGAGGACTTTGGGGCAGCACTTCCCCTGTGGACGGGCACAGCCTTCCTTGCACGAGGGTCAGGGTGGGAAGAAAGTCTTGCTGGGGTCCTCAGGTGTACCACCCGGAGCAGGAGCCCTGGATGGCAGACTGGCTGGGCTAGGTTGGTCCTGTGTCCCCAGCGCACCGCTGGTGGTGGGAGGACTGACTGGGAGGCCCAGGTCCAGAGCCCCTGTCAGTCTCCGGACACCCGCTGCAGGCCACAGTGGGGCAGGTCGCTCACCTTCCAGGTGGCCTGGCTCAGGGAAGAGCCCGGCAGCGGGTGAACCCCGCGGGTGCCCCCCGCACCTGTGTCCCCACGACTTCACGAGGCCGGGCTGTCCAGGTTCTCTGCAGGAGGGGCTTGCGGCTGGAGGCAGGAGGAATAGTAAAGGTCAATTTTACTGTGAAAAATGGCCCTTGGCTGTGTCATGTCTGCTGCATCTTGGCGTGGAGACACCTGCCTTGGTCTGGCGGTAGCAGACACTGGGGTCACAGCCAGCTGAGGACACAGCAGGGAGGGAGCCAGACAAGGTGGAATGTGGCTCCTGGGCCACATCTGGGCTGTGCAGAGCTTAGCTGCCCCTGGGAAGTTCGCTCTTCTCCTCACTTCTGCTTTCCCGGCAGATCTCGAGACTGGCAGGGTCCTTGCCAAGTTCTGACATGGCTGCGGGGTCACTGCGGGCCAGTGCTGAGCCCACAGGAAGCAGGTCTGCCCAGCCCATGGCCCAGCTGCTGCGGGAAATCCGCCCCCCCCACAGGACTTCCTGCTGGGACACTGACGTGGATCCAGAGACTTCTCAGGGCAGGCACGCGCCTTGTGGCCTTCACGCCGCGTCTGAGCGGTGGGCTCTGGCCCACTCTGCTGGGTCAGGTGATGGACACCGAGGCCCTGCCAGACCCTTCTAGGTTCTCAGGTCCCTTCCCGGAAGGAAGGACTTCAAAGCTCCCACTAGTACTCGCGGTGCCCCAGTAGAGGGGCCACGATCCGGAGTCCTGGGTCCTGCTCAGCTCACACGGCCATTTCCTGGGCTTGGCCTTTCTCCTGTTACGGATTGTTTGTTACACATCTGTGCGGCTGGTTTGGGAGGCTGTGTGCCCTGGCTGGCTGTGCTCCAGCAGACCAGGGGCCTCCACACCTGCATTCGGTCCCATCTGCCCATTTTGCAGATGAGGGAACTGAGGCAAAGAACCCGGGTGTGGGATTCAGGGGTGTTAGAGAGAGGTGTGTGTGGAAGTGCCACCCTAGCTCCTAGCCGGGCAGCTGATGGATGTCGTGGATTTGGTGGGGGCCTAGGTCTCTCGTTCTGGAACCACGAAGGTGCCTCTGGGCAGGGGTTCTTGTCCCACACTCTTATGTGGGGTTTGGGGTCAGTGGCAGGCAGGGCAGGCAGGACCAGAGGGCATCCGTAACCGAAACACCTGGGTCCTGCAGGGGCTCAGTGGGCTCCGGCCTGGTCTCATCTCCCAGGGGAACAGGATGCTGTGGTGGGCACCCCCATCTCCTCCCATCCAGGCCTGGGCTGGACTGCAGCATCCATTAAGCTGTGGCCAGAACCAGGTGCTTGGGTGCAGCAGATCCCAACCCCCTCCCCGTCTGAGCTGAGGACGCACAGCACAGTGGCCCTGGCCTAGGTGGCCTGAGCCCTGCCGGCTGCCCGTGAACAGCCACGCCAAGGCCCTCTGTCCACAGAAGGGGGCCTCCCTGCTCTCCTCTGGCTCCTTACCCACAAGGCGCCTTCCTGGCTTTTAGGGGGAAAAAACCCAGAACTCACCCAGCTCCTGGGACCACCACTGAGGTTTGGGGAAGTCCCGTGGCCCTGGGGACACATTAACCAGGGTGTTTGCTCCCTGCACTACTCAGGTCACGGGCAGAGGCCTCTGCAGGCGGTTCCCAACGTGGATCCGGGAAGTCAGTCAGTTCAGGCCAAGGGCTCCTGCCGCCCTCCAACCCTACGCTGGTGGGCTTCCCAGAACCTTGGCCTCGCTGGGACTCAGCCGTCACCCAGGCCCTAGAGTCACCCTGCCACTCCAAGCCTGTACTTGGGGGGCTGCTGGGCTGTCCTCTGCCCTGGGCAGCTCGCCTGAACCGCAGGCCCCCGCTCTGTGGAAAGGGAGGTTAATGCTCCCTCTCCGTTAGTGGGGAACTCTGTGGGCGCCAGAGCTTTCCAGAGTGCGGCCCGGGGCCTACAGATGGGGAGACCGAGGCCAGCTGCGGGGGAGCGTGTTGTCAAGGCTACATGGCCAGGCTGTGGTGAGCGGGGCGGGCTGGGCTCCCGCTGGCTCCCCCTATCACTGCACGGATTCAACAGGAAGCGGATGGTGGCATGGGCAGGAAGTGCCCTGCCCCAGGAGGGGCGCGTGGCCCGGGCCCTGGCTCGCCCCCTGGGGCTCTGAGGCAGCGGCCAGGTCCATCGGAACCTCACAGGTTGCATGCTCCTGGCCCTCTTGCACACGTGGGAGACAGGCCCAGAGGGTGCTGACTGTCCTGAGGTCACACAGCTGGAGCCTAGGGGTGCCTCTGAGTGCACAGCGCCCACAGACTGGCCCTGACCCCAGCCCCCTCTGCGGGGGGCTTCTGAGCCTTGGGGCCTGGGTTCCAAGTGCAGCCCTCACTTGCTCTTGGCTTTGGACAAGGTGCTTCCTGTGCTAGCCTCAGTTTACCCACAGTGAGTGTGTGTGAGGACGGGGCTGGAGGGGTGCCCCCGAGGAGGACACCCAGCTGAAGGATGAGCAAGATAGTGAGCGGCGCCCGGGGTGGAGGAGAGCAGGGACACAGGGCGCTGAGGCGTCCTTCTGTATTCGAACGTGCGTGTCTATAAAGGACTCAAACGGTCTAGAGGGGCTCAGAAGGGAAGGGAATTCCTCCTCCGCTGAGGCTGGCAGTTAGCCTACGCGTGCGTGCGTGCGTGCACTGTGTACGTACACCTGTG